CTCCCAAAACTAATTTGAATTAAATAGAACCAAGCAAATATCATTATCCATTAATAAACATTTCTTGTTAGCGGTAAAGCTAAAAATGAATATACCTGCTGATATAGTTTCATTTCAATTAGCAATTCTTCAAAATTTTCTTACTCTCCAATAATTTTTTTTATATATAAAAATTTGACATTAAACTTAATTCACGGTCGGAAAATAGGTCAATAAATTTTTAAGTAAAATTTTAAACAAATATTCTGAATAGCTCAAATTATCCAATCTAAATTGAGTCCATTAATTATTTGCAGCCCAAACAATTGAATGGAATTCAAAAAATCCCCCAACCCAACTCAACCCAACCCACCTACAGTTGTTATCTATGATTTTGAAGAAATAATAATAATAATAATAATAATAATAATAACTTGGATTATTCTAAAAAAAAAATAGTTGTAAAAAAATTGTGCAATCAATTACCATTTACCTCTATTCCTAAAAGATTGACACTATTTAACCCCCTAATTTCTCTATTGCTAGGGGCTATAATCAGAGCAAAATTCTCTTCCAAGTTCTAAGATGCCGCCTACCCTTCAACTAAGAATTTTGTTAAGATGGCAATTTTAGTAAGGACACATCAAAATCTTTATCCACAAGTACTTTCAGGTGATCTTTTTGGACACCTTCATCTGTAACCAAACTGACATAAACTATCATCTTCAAAATGTTGAAAAAGTACTTCCATACTAATATGTTGATCAGTCCCCATCCTTTTCAGGAAACAATATTGTGGCAAGAAATGGAAAATAGAGACATCTCTAATGAAATGATGGGGCTTTGTATTTAATGACAAGGGTAGGCGAAAAATAGCCTAGAAGATAAATAACACATTGATGTATAAATTTGGCAAAAGTGCTTTAACAAATATCACAGATTGGAACAATTGACATCCTAGGTCAACATAAATAAGGAAAGAAAGAAAAGAAAAAGGTACCTATGGTTGAAAGCAATGCCGTATCTGAGCTCCCCGAGGGAGGTCTATCATGGGTCTGTCCTCTACGTTTCAGTCTTCACCATCGTCATCGTCATCTCCATTTTCCTATACACACATCATTCAAAGTTTGAACCATTACTTTTGAACCTCCAACTTGGCTTATAATGAAGCTGCAAAACACTAGACTTAGATGAAATACAATATTTCAGAAACTCATAAACAATAGATTTGGACCAAATACAATATTTCAGAAGCTTATAATCATTCATATAACAATGAAGTTGCAAGACACTAGGTTTAGACCAAATACAATATTTCAGAAGCTTATCTCATATTTATGCAAAATAAAGTTGCAAAAACACTAGGATTGGACCACATACAATATTTCAGAAGCTTATAATCATTCATATAACAATGAAGTTGCAAGACACTAGGTTTAGACCAAATACAATATTTCAGAAGCTTATCTCATATTTATGCAAAATAAAGTTGCAAAAACACTAGGATTGGACCACATACAATATTTCAGAAGCTTATAATCATTCATATAACAATGAAGTTGCAAGACACTAGGTTTAGACCAAATACAATATTTCAGAAGCTTATCTCATATTTATSCAAAATAAAGTTGCAAAAACACTAGGATTGGACCACATACAATATTTCAGAAGCTTGTAACTATGCAACAATGAAGTTGCAAGACAAGACACCAGGTTTAGACCAAGTTCACTATTTCAGATGTTTATAAATATATTCTCCTTACTTTTAGTTAACTATATGAATGCTCGTGAATAATTGTCATAAATGATGTGTGCTTGCATGATTCGAGAATGAAAGAAAGCCCAAGTCATCAAACAAAATAGTGACACACCGAGACATTCATAAAGGTTCAAAAGAACATCCGTATATTCAAGTGCAATTGAATTATTGTGAAAGTGAAACTTATTCTTGTTTACCTCCTCATCCTCATCTTCTCCATCAGAGTCCTCTTCATCTTCGTCGATATCCTGTAAAGGAACAAGGACCAAGACTTCGATTAAAACAACAAAAGAAGACAAGAACACCCAAAAAAAAATGAAAGAGAGCCAAAAGGCAAAACAAAAACAAAGAGCTGAAATCAACTTCGACTATAAGTAAGAATCTAATTATCTAGAATTGAAAAATGAGGAACATCCAGAATCAAGGAAGAGGAAGCAACCCAAATAAGGTATTTAAATTCACAACACTCCGAAACTTCCCCTAATCTTGAACAAGATCCCCAATAAGTTTCCTATCCTCTGTACCGTACAAAGCAGCTAAATACCCCAGTGATATGAAGAACCCAACCTATAACATGAAAGAGAGGATGGGAAATGTAATCCCTGCAAGTCTAAGAGAAACCAAAACTCTGAAGTCTGAAACAACCTAGCCCAAATAAGTAGAGACAAACTATCAACCTAGCCCACAAGTAGAAAACAAACTATGCATAGATGATCCGGAGCATTTCTTGAACATGGAGGTGAGCCTATATGAAATTGTTCCTCCTCCCACTCGTTGGATGCATCCAATCAGATTTGAAAGTGATGGCCCTAGAAGAGATGAACTGAAACAAACTGGTCTTGTTGAAGAGTGCACTCTTGCGGTACAAAAATAGATTGAACCTTCTAATAACTGCAGCATTTGAGAGAATTGATGTGCGGGGTCATCACTTGAACGCTGGGTGGAGTGAGAGGAGTCTTTCCTCTGAGTGTGCCCATTTAGGTTCGTAAGGGAACATCCAAGAGATGAGCTCATATGAAGTAGCGCTAGGAGAGAGCACCCTCAGATTTGATCCCAGCTGATGCATAGAAATGAGTTGGCCTATTTTCCATCTACTGCAGCTTCTTTGGGAAAAATGGTTTGTCTGATGAATGTCTTCACTTGCCCGTTTACAGAGAATGCAAGACTAGGGCATCCAACCTTGGCCACCTTCACTCTCCAAAGCTTCTCAAGAGAGGTAGAACCTCTTGGTGGGTGGAAAAGGATAAATTAGAAACAAGGGAAGCATGAGAGAGGAACCCCTTGGTGAGTGAAAGATAATCCTACCACACCCTTCTATCCTCAAACCAGAGATAAGATGCACCTCCTGTTGAGTGATACGAAAGCCAGATCACCGACCTCCCTATTGCTATGATTTCAGGAGATCCAACTAAAAGAAGGGAAAAGCAACAGAAGAGCCCAAAGATAGAGATAGGGAACAACTAGCCACAAGAAACCAATAATGGGGCATCCCTAATCCAACCGTCCTCCCAAAATACAAACATGAGAACTATTCCCAACAGAGAGTTTAGGAACAAAGAAAACGATAAAAACCTAGGAAACTATAATTAATGTACAAGGACTATGAAAACTACCACTATTAACTTGCTTAGAGTTCCATTCGTTAGGATGCATCCCATTACCATAGCCAGTGATGGTGATTGGTATTCCAGTCCCAGATTCCAAAATAAACCACCACAGTGATTTATCTAGGAGGGCTCTATAATTATTTATGATATCTCCAATCGCAACACCGCCCTCATTTATAGGTTTAGTCACCATAACTCACCTGACTAAATGAGACCAATTTCCTGAATGACTAGAATATAAAATAAATGTGCTGAAATAAAAGGTAAAATGATACATAAGAAAAAGGAGATTACATTGTTGAAATATTTCAAAGGATTGGGCCATAAGTCCTCTTTAATTATCTCAGCTACCTGCATTTTAAGTTAAAAAAATCCAAGAGTGTAAGTACAAACCAAAGCAATGAATTCTTGAGAGAAGAGAAACTGAAACGAGTTTTATGAATCTAGCTTTTTTCTCCCAAGGTTGGCACAGTTGCAATATCTAAATGGAGCAGCAATTTGAATGACCAAAGGGAATTATACTAGTTATCAAAAGTACACAGAAAATAGATAAGACTATTACATTTGCAAGATGAGTATTTATTTGATCATGGGGCCACAAAAAATGTTCAGACTTACCTCATCATGAAGCTCAGTGATATCTTTTTGTTCGGTCTCCCCAAACCAACTGAAGAAGCTGCATACATCAATTCTTGATGAGCAATATAGAGAGTAAATATGCTGAATTGAAACTAAAACAAGAAAGCCACAGGAGGAAATTAAAACAAGAAAGCCACAGGAGGAAGAGAAAGTGGAGAAACATGTTTCTAAGTTGACTTTTCTATTTGACAAAGAAAAATCATTGAGAATATGAAAGCGGAGCCAGATATCATAGCATAATGGCGTAATGGTAACACATTAAATAAGCACGGATTTGGAAAATGGAAATCAAAAGTTTCTTCCTTAGACCCTTTTAATATACTAATTAAACTTTATACAATACATTAATTTGGAAATTTTTAAATGATATTATTCTCCAATATATTTGACAGAAAACTATTCGTTTATTACACATTTGAATAACTAGTTTGTTTCTTTTAGCACATTTAATAATTACTTTCACTTGTCAAGAATAAAACAAATTGATTGATCTTATAAAATAACTATATTATTTGGTAGCACATCCATAACAATCAATACTTTGAATTTTATTTTTTAAAATATTAAGTTAGAAAAAAAAACTTTCATTTTGTACCCAACTGGTTTGCTTTTTCAACGATGGGGGGGAGATGATCTACTTTTTTAGATTTGGTTTCTTGCTCCGAGGTAGTGAACAAATTTCTACTTCTAAAGAACGAAAAACAAAATATTAAATTCTATTGAAGAACTGACTTAAGATATTTGATATGAAGAATTTTTTTTTAAGAAATTCTATCAACAATTTATTACATAGTTACAATAGAAATAACTACCAACTTTTGAAATTTTTAGGGAAATATATTAAATCAGAAACGTATGATCTTTGAAATGGTTTGGTCTTCAAAGCTGCAACAATTTCAAATTGATAGGCTAGCTCATTTAACATCTGTGTTAAAAGTTAAATTAACTTCAATGGAAAAAGGTATCATCTTTATAATATTTTGGTCTTCAAAGCTGCAATAATTTCAAGCACACTTCACTAGAGGCCTGAAGATCATAGTCAAACCTGGAGATTCTAAAACTTTTTACTTTGTTTAAAATGGAATCTAATAAGGGGTATGGAAGCACCTGTCTTCAGCCAGGGGTCGCTTCTTCCCTTTCTTCTCACCATTAACTCCATTTGATGTGCCCTTCAAAAATTACCATTAGTTGTTAGATATGATTTAAAAAAAACAAATGAACTATTATTTTGATAGAAATAACTGTTACCGAGCCATCCTTCCACTTGATTGTTGTTCCAGTAATTTTAATTGCCCCATCTTCAAAGAATGTATATGTCTTCTCAAGCCTTCTATCTTCAAAATGAGGATTCTCATTGAAATTCTGAAATTTAAAGAAGTTAAGTGACAGGTCAATATCACATTCTGCACTTGTGCGAAGATATCAAATAGGCCAAAATAAAGTAAAGTAACATACAAATGATTTGAACAGACAGATAACAGTATAAGTCAAACAAGTTAGCTGAAGCTTACAAATATGATGGAGTAGCCCATCTTTACATCCTTTTGATCCTCCACTTCAAGAGAAGCTAAATGCCTAAAGATCTACGCCAAGAATAAGAGATCAACAATTACAATAGTACATACTTTCCAGTTGATTGTTAAATAATAAAAAGTCTCTTTGAGATAGGACTTCGAAATAAATTGAAGTACAAAAAAATTGTAGAAATATCTATTTTTTTAATCACAGGCGTAATTAGAATCAAAAAGATAAAAGCAATAAAAACCTTCTGATCTTCTTCTGACAAAAGATCGCAAAGTGCAGGATGACTCAAGAACTGCAAAAAACCAAGCATTGGTCATGGCATCAAAGAAAACAAAAAGGAAATAAACTATAAAGTAACTAGCAGCACAAATATAAGATTTAAAACGTCAAGAAATATGCAGATCACTAACAGCAGTTAACCAGAAGTCTGGAATAGTTTTGATAATCTCATTCCGTTTCACATAAACAGGCTGCCTTATCTCATTATATTTCTGTTCAACTTCCAAAACTTTGTCACCTGCTTCTTCATTAACCTGTTGAATACCAAAGGTACAAGGCTAAACACAAGTATAACTATTAAATACTAATACTGAATCATATATAAAAAATTGCACTATTGCCATTTTCCATATGGATCAGGCATTGGCAGAACAATAGCCATGGTGAACGTCTTATACACATTGCCTATCACAGCCTAGATTCATACTTTTTTTTTTAAAATCAAGAACTCAGATTCTTTGACAAAATGCTGGACAACTAAATCTTCAATTGGAATAAACTTCTATATAAGTTGGGAACCATATTGATCATTAGTAGTAACAACACACATGGAAGTTTTCTACATAAAATATTGAAAAATTTCAAAACAGAAAAACCTAGCTATATTACCTAACAAGTGCAATCTACTAGTATCCACAATAACCAACCTGATTACTTTCAAAGTTGAAAGCAGGAAGAGAATACTAAAATAGAGAGAATAAAAAAATGAAAGAAAACATGACTTTCATTAGAGTAAATGAAGGAAAGAACAAAAATCTCAACAAGACACTAAGGGATAGTAGGGGAAATCTACATCTGGATATTGCAAACATTATGTCCACTCCTTTGCCAAAAAAAAAAATATGTACCACTCAATATTGTAATATCAAACAGTCAAAGAAGCATTTCAGTGGCAGTCCTCTTCAATGAAGTTATTCCATCCAAGTATCAAGTTTTTTGGGAGATGAAACACACTTTTCATTGATATAGTGAAAGGTTATATACAAGATATAATTCTCTAGCATGAACTTATAGAAAACACTCCCCTATTAGAGTTAATATCCAAATTTTAATTTTTTTCAATCTTATAAATTTAATTACAATAAAGTAAATCTAGACCTATTCTCTTTTTGGACAGTATGATTTACTATTTTCATTATTTACATGCTTCGTCTCAATTTAGGAAAGTACGAAACAAAGAAGAAGAGATATAATTGGTGTTTGAGAGAACTGAATTCTACTTTATAAATCCATAAGCAAAAAAAGGGAAAATATAACCATCAGGAAAACAAGAGAATTCGGCACATGGTTACATGTTGGCAAAACAGCATCTACTTAGGTTAATATTGTGGCATTTTAATGGTAATAAAATAATATTGATACCTACTTGTCCTTGTATCCCTTTGAGATTAGTATATACATGGTGAATATGGTAATATAATTATGACTTTCCTTCAAAAAATCAGAAGCAAAAATAAAAAAGTGATCAATTATGGAATGAGATTTTTGCAGCCTGATTCTTCAGCCTGATTCTTCGTGATTTTTGCAGTGTCAAATCCTTGCCAATAAAATACAAGGAATTCATAATATTTGAACCAAGACACTTCTTAACTTGAAATCCTTGTAGAAATCTTAATTTCTATCTTAAACAAATTAGTTGTCCATTTCTTTGAGCATCCTTAATTAACATAATTTATCAAACTTTTGGATAAGAAGTGTTAAGAAAGAATTTAAATTGTTCAAATTAATCATGATCTTAAGTTTCAGCTCAGGGGATTTAGGGTAACATATATGAGACAAAATAATTAAAGCAAGATTGCCGTCAATTTAACACGAGTATAACTCAAAATGCCTAACCACCGCAGTTCCAAAGAAGAATCAGAAGAAGCTATGGCATTGGCTTCTATGCTATGCAAGCTTTGGTCAAATACAGTTTGAAAAAATCAACTTTATGTCTATTACGTTAAATACGTTAGAAGTCCAAAACGCAGCTTGAATCGATTTCTAAGCACCACTTATAGAAGCAAGAGAAGTTAAAGTAAGAAACAGTGACTGAGCAAACAACATATGTATCAATAAGAATGTTGTTCCAAGTTCAGAGAGCGCAGGAATGCAATTAAAGTACAGAACAGGCGAATTTACAGCGAAGTTGAAAACTGGAAAATGCATGATGCAGAAACTGAAACCTATTCTCATCCATGTAGGAACAGAAAAGTAAACAGAGAGGAGAGGAGGAGGAGGAAAAAGGGACCTTCTCGAGCTCGTCTTGAACCTCCTGTAACTTCTCGATAAATTGGACGAGCTCGACGTCAATGTGATCAGCCTCGTCGTCCTCAACTTTGTCGGCCACCTTCGATTTCTTCCCCTTTTCGGCGACCATTTTGGAGTCGGAAACCTAGTTTGGGGAGGCGAACAGAACAGAACGCCGCAACTCGAAGAGAAAGCGAGGGAAACTAAGGAAAACAAGAGAGCGGATAAATATGTTTTGGGGGCAAAAACTGGAATCGGCTTAATGAAGTTGAAGTTTCAGAGTGAAGGCTGTTTGCTCTGTATTTATATGAAGGCAGAGAGAGGGACGACGAGACTGAGTTTTGAGTTCCCCCTTGGCCCTTCCTTCGTATATTCTCCTTTTTTCCTTTTTCCTTTTTTTAAGAACAAATAATAATAGTTGAGAAAATTTGGAGCATTTTATTTTAGTTTTTATGTAAAGAAAATATCAATAAAATCGAACAACATCGTCTCGTCTGCAAATTGGGCCTCGAGAAGCAGAATCAATCAATTGGGCTCACGTTTTCGTCTTGGGCCAGGCTCGTTTTGGGCCTCAAGAAGCAGAATCAACCATATTAAAGGAAATTGTCGTGAACGCCTTTCTGAACGTGACCCCTAGCAATTGATTATTGCATTTTTAACTCAACTAACATTCTCTCCGGTAAAGTTGAACTAATTTAAATATTTATCTCCGACCAAAGAACCGTGAGTTTAAAGTTACACCTCTATCTATTGTACTAAATAAAAAAATTTCATATATGAATTTTCTAATATATCGAGATTGTTCCCAGCTAAACGCTTTAGGTATTAATTAGAATTTGGAGTGATAACTCCAATGGATGGCCATGATGAAGGATAGGAAATGTTTTATGATATTGACGTTCTAAAATATAAACAATCTCCAGTTTCTATTCTATTGGGAACACGAGTAATTGGAATTAATGCTAAAGGTCTTGGAATTAATGCTGGAGTGATATAGTGTGCAAAATAAGAAGCAATCAGCCTAGGTGGTTGCGATCAAGAGAGACCAGGTGGATTTACGAATCTCTACTTTCTCTTTGAGGCGGGATCCGCTCTAGATAGGATGAAGAATTCTGGTCTATGAGAGCTGTTTCTTGGATCCGGAAGAGAGTATTTGGATTCTCCGAAATTACAAAACGGGGCTGCGAAGCTTGCGAAGTAGACAGCCAAACGTCTTCATGCATGTCAAAACATCAACAAGCTAACCTTAATAAGACTTTGCATCCTATCCTTGGGCGAAAGGGGCCACCAGCCTCTTTCTTTCTTCAAGTTGTTCCACACGGAAGAGGGATGTGGGAAGTCTTTTCCCGTCACCGAAATGGAACGAAGACAGAGAAAACATTGTCCGCCATGCGTATAGAGTGAGAAATTAAAGCAGGTAAATGATTGGAAACTAAACAATTAATTAAAATATGTTTCCTCCCTAAAAAAACAAACATTTCTTTTAAAAAAATATTTAATTAAGAAATAAATTTAAAAAATAAAGAAAAATTCTCCTATGGAACCTCATCCCCATAAAAATTTCGTGGTGAATTTCGCAGAGAAGGGAAAGCCTCCCCTGTCCCCGTCCCACCCCGTGAATACCCCACGATTATAGGTCAATTGGTTGATACCAAATAGCTATCAAGAGTAGTTTCTTGACCAAATAAGATGAAATGTCATTTACAATATCATGTCTAACTAGGTGAGACGAGAATGAGATGATAGTGAAACCAAAATTACCTCAATAAAGTGAGACAAAAGGCGATACACTCTTTAATATACTAAAACTCTAACAAACTGACTTTCAAATGATCTAAAGAAAACACCACATTGATGTCTAACACCTCATCACTTTTTGCAAGAAACTTTTATTCGCACCTTTTGTTGTTGCCTTCAACGTACGCACCTCAATTCCTACTGCACAGTCATGCACATAATCATCCCAACGAGTAATTAAAGCTAAAATCAGACTAACAACCTTTCGTATATTTTTATAAAATTTTACTACACTTCTCCATCGTCATTAACATGGAGTAACAAAAATTCTGACCTGGTATGCTATTATTTATAGTTATCATTGTGTGCTTGATTTCAATTTTAGCCCTATGATTTTAAAACTTTTAATTGATATAGTTTGGTTAGACTTTCCTTGAAGTTAAAAGTTTGATCCTCACCTCCCCTTGTCTTAAACTAAAAAATAAAATCTATCCAATACGCGTAAGGTAGGGAAAGCCTTCTCTGATTTTATAGGTTTAAGAAGTATAATAGAAATAAGAAGTTAATCAACAAGGATTCCCCATCTTCACAGGATGTATGGAACACAAAATGCAGCAAAAACTAAGCAAAGAATTCGTTGAAGGAATCCCCTGCATCATGATCAGACATCTCAACAAGAAACTCAGTCAAATCAAAAGGACTAACTGGTCTCCAAGCCTCATTACTTGAGTCCAAGTTCACAGGAAACCCTATGGATCTCCATCCCTCCCACTGGTCTTCTCCAACAACATTCTCTGGAAAAGAATATGGAATCCCATTGGGGATTATTGATGCCCCTTCCGAGTCCCTAATCTGATCCATCGAGCATCGGTTCTCTGCCTCCATTGGAGCAGACGCGAAGCTTCCATAAATCCCACAACGACAAGAAGAAGAAGATCTGGGGAAGTTCTGAAACTGGGGTTCGGTTGAAGCCTCTGCCCCTGGTAACGACGACAACCAAGAGAGAGAAGAAGCAGACATAACCCCCTGTCTCGCCTTGTTCGTTCTCTTAAATATCCTGCAAATCGCCCACGAATCCTGCTTTTCAAGGACAAAATTTAATCAAACAGAGAGGGGAAAAAAGAGAGGAACAGGGTAGAAAAGTGTGGGCGTGTAGTTACATAATCTGGGCAAGAGGGCAAGCGAAATTCATGCATCATCCAGTTGGTTTTGAGGCCTTTGGCAGCTCGACCTCGATAGTACACAAGAGATTTCTTCAACCCGATGCAGTGGATCCCACTAGAGGAGTAAATGGGCTTGTCCGTGCCAGTGGCCTTCCAAAACCCAGAGCCAGTCACTCTGTTGGGCCGTGCGCTGTTTCTGTATTTCCGGTCCCTTCGACAGAAAAAGTACCATTCTTTCTCCCCAATAGCTGCCAACCCTGCTCCATCGGACATCAAAAAGGGTCAGTGGAATTGCATATTAAAAAAGCAGAGTATTGAAGAAGGGTAATAAGGCTTGGTTACTTGGGAGATCCCATGGATCGTGTCTGTAGATGTCAACGTGCTTGATTAGATCGATGGTAACGGGACGCATCTCAATCTTTCTTCTGAGGTAAAATCCCACAAGCTCTTCATCTGTGGGCTGGAACCGGAAACCAGGTAGCAGCAGATCAGCCTCCTGCTCTGAATCCAAATTCTGGTCCATTCTAGGATTTGGAACTGGAATCAACTTCTTCGGCAACATCAAAAAACAAACCCCTTTGAAAGTAAAATTGAATAGGGCTGTTAAATTGAAGATGGGATTGTGATTGTGAAGTTGCTGTGTGGCTGTTTGGAAGAGGAGTTACGACACCGGAGCTGGGTTTTTTCTGCGAATTTTCTTGATGACTTGGTAAACGGAAGCAGAGGCCGAGTTGAGAGATTATAAATTTCTAATCTCTTTTTATATATATATTTTCTCCTTTTCGTTAATTATTTATTAGCCACTGCGAATATCACGAGGGGAGGAATCTGTTTCTTAAACTTGAAATTTTGAACACATCACACACAAGATGACAAAATAACTTGATTCACATTTTGACAAGTTTGGAAATATTAATTTCTCTATTTGCTTTTAGGAGGAATGTTTCATAATTTTTTTTTTTTTATACAACATCTGGGGCGGTATTCTAATTCATGACCCCTTAGTAAGAGATAGATGTCTTAACCACTTGAGCTATGTTCGATTTGACGAATGTTTCATAATCTTATTAAATGTAAGGTAAATAAGTTAATGCCAACCTTAATTGGGTTGACTCCGTATTAATGAACATTTGTTTGTAATCAAGATGTCATGAATTCGAATTTTATTTTTGTTACTAAAAAGAAAGTAAAATAAGTTAATACAATGACAATTAAATATATGAGTTTGTGACATGGGATCAATAGGTTTATCACGTAGATTATACGTGGTAATTTGTATATTGATAATTAAATGATGATGTGATATGTTTAATTTTACGAAATATAGGAGATAAATGTAGCAAATACCCACTTTTGGTCCCAAATCTTTGGGGTTGCTTTCTCCAATAAGGTTCGTTACATTTCTTTATGTTATCTGTACCAGTAACCGATTTATAGATGAATGCTCTTGGAGTAGTTGGTTTGGCCTTAAATCTATGTACCTATGATTTCATTTATGAAGAAATTCGTGCAACAGAAGATTCGGAATTTGAAACTTTCTATACAAAAAATATTCTCTTAAATGAAGGTATTTTTACTTGGACAGTGACCCGAGATCAACCTCATGGAAACAGATCAACCTCATGGAAACTTTATATTCCCCGTGGAAATACTCTTTAATTAAACTTTAGTCCTAGTTGGTCATGGGGAAGAAATCATTGATTTCACTTGGGGGCATAAATGACATATAGCTAGATAAAACACAATAATAAAGTAATTTTTGCAAGTTGCAATACCCACTTTTTAAAATAAAACATCAAATTCTTGTTTTAAAAAAAATCAAATTCTCTACCGATTACATCGTTTATTTTAGTCCGTGGTTGTTTACTCTCGTTTATTCATTTATTTTTATCTTACAATGAACCATCATTCATCTAATAATGATTTTAAAATTTTTAATATGTAACTACAATTTTTTAAAATCTAAATATACCTAAGCCAATTGTGAAATTTATATTTTAAACTTGTGTAGAATGATTATCAAACGGTGTTTTGGAAATTAAAATTTATCAAAATCTAATCACACAACATACTCGCCTTGCTTAAAAATAATTCAAATAGTTAAAAAAAATAAAAATAATGAGGTTAGGTTAAATAAAAATGGTAAGAATTTTGGATAATTTTGGAGATTCTAATATTCTTTCGAATTAATAATATCATATTTTTTTTTCCTTTTACAATCGAGCAGACGAGAACCCGCCTAAGAAAGAAAGAGAGGAAGGAAGGAAAGAAAGGAGAACGAAGGAAACCCACCTAAGACACTTTTGACCTTCTGCCACCCAAACATTTTACCTTTCATACCTGCGGCTATATCATAAGAGGTGTAATTTATAAAACAATTCAAAATATATATATATATGATACTTTATACACGTCGTGTAATTTAACTTTTTGTTTTTTTTTTCTAATTTCGATTTCGTAGGTATCTAATTCTAGACTTAACTTTTTTGAAAAATATATATTTGGGCTGCTAATTCAATTATTCATCACTGTGGACACGTTAAAATGAGTAATGCTCTATGGGCTCGTTCCCTCTTTTTCCAAGAATTGATGTAGCCTGGTGGGTATAGGAATGGCAATGGACATCAAAGCAGGGGTTTTAACTGCCCTGATTGCCGGAACAGCACTTTACGATGTTCATAACTAATTGGATCTTGACGTACCAGTAGGTACTAGAGGAGATCACTATGATCGTTACTGTATCTGTATCGAAGAGATGCGACAAAGTATTCGGTCGGCCGATAATGGACCTACTTACTTTGCTTGTGGACCTGCTGCTGAGCTAACCCTGGTTCTATTGGTTTGRTGGTAGCTACTCTATAGCCTTTAGGATAAAGACATGAGCATAGGATTTCAGAGGAGCCCAAAGGCAAATGTTTCACGATCCGATCTCTCACTTGAAGAAAGATAGCCTGAATACCCAGATTTTAAGCCATACTTTACACATTTATCTAAACTAATAGATGTTGATATTATCTATAGAGTTTGTAAGAGATATTTATATAAATAACATAAAATGAATGTATATTTTTAAATATAGTATAAGGTTTAAATTTTTTAAAAATAGTATAGTCCAAATCAAATTTAAATTTAAATGTAATATAGAATAAAAAAAAGTTAAATTTATGTTAGATGTGAAATAGATAAACAAAAACTTATCACATCTTTAAAGTTACGTGATGGTGTAATGTTTCAATTAAAAAAAGTTTAACTATTCAGAAGGAGTGGAAAAGACGTATCAATGAAAAATTTTCGAAATATTTATAGCTTATTAAATTGGATCAAAACATTTGGCTAAATAATTGATGTTGAAAACTAAATAGATAGAAAACTATACAAATTTAAAATGTTTTTGAAACATGACTACACGAATAACTTTTAAATTTTAAATTTTGTTTTCAAGAGTATTTAAATTAAAGTGAAATATTTAAATAACGAAAACTCTAGATGAAACAATTTTTATCCCAGCTCTATAAAATGAAAAATGAAATTGATCACAAATAAGAGATTTTATTTTTTTAGTCAAATAATTTCACCAGAAAAGTCAAATAAAATAGTTGAATAGTTTGTGTATGAAAAAAGCATCATTACATGTTCAATATGTTGTTAAAAAATCATGCGCAAGAAGCGTGGCGTAGAGTTCCGTTCGGCAAATATATATATATTCTGAAACGGACCATTCGACAATATAAATTGCGCCATTTTTTTTAAATAATTGCGACTTTTGTAATTGGTTCACTTTTCAGTTTTCATAATAGTTCAAATAATGCGGTTTTTCATTTTCCATATATGTAATTGGCCCAGAAAACAGTTATTTTTTTAATCCATAAACGTGAAGGCGAAGGAAAGAGACTTTTATTTTCTTCTCATTTTTTATTTTTTGAAACGGACAAAGTAATTAATGCGTCATTCTGCAATTTATTTATTTATTTTTTTTAAATACAACATGTGGGAGGGAGATTTGAACTCCTAACCTTTTGGTTGAAGATATGAGTAAATTATCGTTGAACTATACTCGTTTTGACTCTTTATGTAATTTATTAATATAAGGTGAGTCGGATGACAATAAAAAGGGATTCAAAGAGATAATTACAGTTCAAAATAAATATAGATTTATATATATAACATTAAGTTTAAAACTTTGTAAAAAATACCGTAAATTGAAAATTTATACTATTACACGACTTTTTAGAGGTTAGAGGTCTAATCTCCTACTAAAAAAAAGTAAGACTCACTTTCGTGACATTTAAAAAAACAATAATAAACTAATGATATTTTTATAAATACATATTTCCTTTATGTCATTTAGTATAATTCTGACAAAAATAGTTTTTGTTAATGATGGTTGAATTTTTAAATTTATTTCATTTTGGTTCATAAAATTAAAAAAAATAACCTATTTTAATCCTTAAACTCTTATGTTATTCTATTTCAATTTTTAAAATTTTAAAATATCTATTTTAATACTTCCTACTTGAAAAAATAGATATCTTTATTCTCACCGAGTAATTATTGAAATGGTAAAGATAAAAGATTTTTAAAGTTCAAGTGGGTTTGCTTCATACGATCTATCTATAAAAAGTTTCCAAACACGATGACGAAATCCAAATTGCGTGTTTATATTTTAATATATATGTAATAAAAAACATCTTTGTGTCGCTTCAATAAGAACATGAACAATGAATGATGTTTATGTCATAATTCCAGTAAATAACAATAAACAGAGAGAGAGAGAGAGAGAGAGAGAGAGAGAAATCATGGAGGATGAAATTGGTAAACAAAATTACAAAATAACATATCTTGACATTTGATTTGGATCCATTATGAACATCACATTATTCAGTGATATCTTGTTTTTACATCAAAACTAAGAGTTGATTCTTCCATCTCTCTCCCTCACCACCAAGTTGAAAAAGTTTTTGAGTCCACACCATCTCAACTCTCACATTTCCTACTTGCTGTGCTGTTAAAGCCATTCAATATCAGTTTATCACACAGTATCTCAACAATTTTCCCCAGAAACCACTCATTTTATATCACAACTTTTACCTCAACCGTTCGATTCGATCTGTAGCTCTCTTAATCTTCTTCTTCTCCATTTGATCCCGAGTAGAACGTCAAAACGGTTAGCGATTTAGCGTGTTTTATGCAAGGTTCTGCAGATACTATCTCTACTGACTTTCTTCTAATATCAGAGGCAGCTCCAGAGTTTGCCCTCCTCTCTTTATCTTCAAAATTACTTCGTCTCCCGCATTGTACTCATCCAATAACTTGTACAATTCTGCTTTGTTTCTTACCTAGAAAGAGATCCAAAACCTTATATTCTCAAGATCCAATACCAAATTTACTAAATATTTTGGAGGGACATTTCATTGTTTGATCTTCCAATGGAAATGTGATGCTTGTCCGGAAAGAAGGAAGAGCTCACCGGCTTATTATCGATGGCAGCAATGATATCTCCAAGTACTATATTACCGGCAAAACCTCTGGTGGTGGGCAATAGTCCGGCTTTGGCTGCAGGACTATTTGCAGGAACCTGAGGATTAGAAACCATATGCATAAAAGGCTATAAATCATCTTAAATTGACTAACTTGATGCATGTTAGTAGGGAAAATATCAGTAATGTAGAAGAAGAAACTAGTCTGGGAAATGTCTACCTGTAGAATTAGAGCTCCGTCACGAACATTGAGTTGATTTGCGATCAGATCAGGAGCAATATCTACATTTATGCCAGCACGAACGACCTGTGCGAAAAACCAGAATTTTAATCATGAATGGTTTAAAGCCTGTGAACTAGATAACATAATCAACTAAAAGTATAAGCTGGCTTCAGAAACAAAAAATAAATATAGACACACACATAAATCGAATACGAATAATATAAGTCTTAATCTTTTATGGCAACAAAATTAATCCTACACCATAATTTGCTAGAAAGCAAGATCACTCACTCTACCAAATTGGATCAACTGAGGTACAATCTTGACTACAGTTGAAGATGGGATTGCAAAACCAACACCAGCTGATGTTCCTGTAAAAGTAATAGTAGAGAGCATGTTCCTCAAATTTCTAATGTTATTGTTGAAGAGTTAGGGCAAGGCAGATAAGAAAATCATGAAAACTACCGTATCTTTATAGCTAGGATGCAACTGAGTGTCATAACTTATAAATATTGAATTGAATTGGCAGGAAAGACTGATGTTTACCTGTTTGAGTAAAAATAGCGGTATTGATACCAATTAAATTCCCTTTCGAATCAAGTAGAGGACCTCCACTGTCAAAAAGATACAGGAAATATTAAGCTCCTTGATGTCAAAATTAATATATATGGTACTGTACTGGTAACACATTCAGCTACAAAATAAAGGAATGATAAAGAAATGAATGTGGGAATTTGGGAACTTTCTTGAGTATAATTTGATTTTTGGACGAATCTTAGACTTACCTATTCCCGGGATTGATAGCTGCATCGGTTTGGATTCCACCACCGATTGTGACGCCGGTCTGACTAAAAATGTCACGGTTGAGTCCACTAATGACTCCAACTGTGAGGGTATGATCAAAACCAAAAGGATTTCCAATTGCCAAGCACTGTTGCCCAACTTTAAGAGAAGATGACTGCCCCACCTTGATTGGCCTCAATAAATCATTTGGCGCATCCACCTGCAAGGTCACAGAGATTCTCTCATATTCCGATATAATTTTTGAGGGATTTTGTGCTCATACAGACGCATCGATTGTTGATGTTAGAGATTAATTTAAGTAAACACACATCATTTAGTTCCACTATAAGAAAATGACTCAGCCGCAAATTTGATCAGGGATATCAGTAGTTATTTATTGGATAAAGTATAAAAAAGGAAAAGAATTTATAGATGAAAAGCCTTACCTGCAAAACTGCTAGATCCTTTGTACGGTCTGCACCAATGAGTTTGCCTTCAAAATTCTTCTGTATCCTATTTCAAAGACTCGAGAAGTTGAGGAAATGGATACTCATTAATTGCAATAGCATATCAGTCTAACTTCAAGTGCCCTCACCCATCAGATGCGAGAATATTAACTCGTGCAACAACCTGCCCGGAGCTCGGATTTCTTGCAAGGGCACTTGCAATTACTGTTCAATAATAAAAAGCAAAAGCTATGAGAAAAAAGTTTCACTTCTTTTAGAATTTCAGTCTAGAGTTGATTAGGTGAAATATTAAGGTTTTTATTTTTCTTAGTTCAACGACACGTGGAAGTGGGGATTCGAACTTTCGATTTTTTGGTCAAAATTATATGTTTTTAACAAGTTGATCTATACTCAGGTTGGAAGTGAAATACAAGGTTTGACATTAGAAATGCCATATTTTGGTAACTAGAATATTGCAAAGTTTCAGATGATCATTTCTCGAAGTTATTCGAGGTAGTCGTTTTTAGCTCAGACCATTTTACAAGGCTGCCAAATTTCTCACCATGATAATTTGTTACTATATGTCCCTGATCATCCCAGACCACTCCAGAACCATTTCCTTCAGGAATCTGTGAATAGGAATTGGTAATGATTACTATATGATGATCTTACATGAAGGTTATCGAAATAAGAAACTAAACAGCTTGAAATATACCATTTGAAATGCGTCAAAGTTGCTAAAATAACATGAACCATAGTTTTGTTGCTAAATTACCTCAACCATGCCAGTTACATTGAGTTGGGGACGTAATGTTACATCGAAAATATTGACAACAGAGTACGTATTTTTCTCGAACAATTGGACAATTCTTTCCTGTCAGTCACATATTTCTCATTCATACACCACGGTGAATAACAACAACAACAACAACCAGAACGAAGCAGTTAATTGGGTAGTAAGCAAAAATTAGTATATTGGGGGAAAAATAACCTCTGTGGGGAAGAGGGTTCCAGAGGGAAAAACAGTGGGAGTTACTTCCTCAATGGTTACCGATGGATCGCCCAAGGCTTGAGCTGTAAATACACTACACAACTTTGTCATAAATAAGTAACTTTCTCATAAGTATAACAGAGTATGGACATATATAAAGCTATAAATGCTACTAGGGTCAATTAAAAGTTACTCATCTTAGGACTCCCAGATCCGAACTTGGCACATTTCGAGCTGAAGGAAAATTTATACATGGTTTTGCTTTTGAAACTAGACAATTTTTCCATTTCACATACAAAAATGACAAAAATTGACATCAAAGATTGAAAATCCATGTCGATTGACACAATATTTCTTCCAAGACACAGAAAATAACATAACAGGACGAGCCCACTCTCGACTTAAATGGAAGTTCATTGATGCAGGGCATAAAGCTGAAATAGTGAGGCAAGTAATCAAGTACCTTGAAGGATAAGACCACAAACTCATAAACAAACTAGCAAATAATGTCCGTCGGGTTGTGGAAAGAAATTTTCTGCTCAGTACTGAACCCAAATCTCCGGAGTCATCTCTAGCACTCCTAATAAATCGGGCAAGCACATTACAACCTTCTCATAAAATCCAATACTAACAATGAACAACCAACAACAAAACTTAGAACAAAAACATGTAAATGTCTATCAATGGATAAACGATGACAATGATTTTGATCAGACAATGTAGTGGAACAGAGGAAAATGGAGAGGAAAACAACCTTTGAATGGAAATGGATTGGGCAGTGCCGGTATTTGGTGTGGAGGGTTGAGAAGGAGAGCATACAGAAGACACGCCATCAAAGCACAGTTCTCGCCTTCCCAAGAAATGGGTCGAAGTCGAAACGCCAGATTTCACCATCGTTCGCTGGTGCGGAGCATTGCATGCCAGAACTTGCATTTCTAAGAGTTCACTTCAGAAGCAATACACCACATCAAGAAAAGAAAAATGCTGGACCCAAATAAAAAGGTTGCAGAAAAGCAAGAGAGAAAGAGGGTATGAAGAAAATAACACTAAAACGGCGATACCCAGTAAAGTTCTGAAGTGAAGAAGACTAATTTCAGAATTCCTAAACGGTTTCACTCACACACTCACATATTGCCACTTGAATTCATAGGGAGCAAATGGGATATTTTAAGATACCCCCATTAAGACTAATTACTCACCAGAAGATGAACTCTCAACGGATGCGGCAAAATCTGAGACAATGAGAGACGACTCAGAGAGCAAAAGGGCACGAGAGAGAGAGTCCTTCTTTACGGAATTCGATTGCCTGATATTCTGAGAAGAGGGATTTTGGGGATTCGCTGAGTATATATTTTTATATTTCTTCCTCGCCCATGGAAACTATGGAATGTTCAAGCTTCCATGCTCCATAACCAACCACCAAGAATCAACAACTACTTCCCTCTCACTCTAATTGGAAAGAAGGGCTTGGCCTCTCTTTGGTGAATATCCAAAAGTTCAAAAAAAAAAAAAAGTTTCATAATGCTTTTAGGAAATGGTGGTTGAAAAAAGTTAGACCCACGAGAGCTTAGTAAATGGTGAAAAATGTTTTGATGTTCTAGAATTTGAATTGAAGATTTTCTCTCTCTTTTTTTTTTATTATTTTGAATTGAAGATTGGTGCATTATGCTGTCACAAAACATCATCCAAATGTACTTGTTGCCAAATATATTGAAGCATTTGGTTTACCGTACACTATATTTTTACTAATGATATTCACATATTGATATCAAGGTAATTTAATAGTAGGTGAATTGTTTGTTTTATAACCTTCTAAAGAAGTTGCTTCTTTTGTTAGAGAAGGTAATTTATTTAAGATGTTCAGTGTGTAATAATAAGACAGTAAAAATATATTATATTCTAAAAGAAGTACAAGTTTGGTACATGAATTTTTAGGTTGTAAGAATGTAAAAGTGATGTGAATATCAACGTAGTTCAATTGGTTAAATCATATATTCCTAACTGAATTTCCATTGTTATACTAGAAAATAAAATGGTAAAGGTAATGTTTGCTGCCAGGGTGTTGTTTGTGTGAAATTAAAATTATCTAAATAAATCATTACTACACTTATTAACATCAAGTCAAGATGGCCGAGTTGGTCTAAGGCGCCAGTTTCAGGTACTGGTCCGAAAGGGCATGGGTTCGAATCCCATTCTTGACAGTTTGTTTTTCCTTTTTTTTTCGCCTTTTTTCGCGTATGTTCCATGCAGACAACTCATCAAACCAATATTTTTATATATAAAAAAATACCTTTTTTTTTTTAACTGCACTTATAGCTTTTACTTAAATCAACATAAAATTATTTTAACAAATCTCAAATATTTTAAAAATAAATGCGATTAGAAATCTACCACATAAGTTGTTGAAACTCATTTTACATAACCAATAAAACTATTACATCGAAATATCATTACACCATAAATTCTCCCACTTCAATTTACTATATAAATAATATATATATATATATATATATATACACACATACATATATCATGCTTCACACAATATAGGTCCAGATAGAGACTAAGAGTAATCTGTATTGGAGAGATATTTAACTTGTAATGAAGCTTAGCAAGGTAAATCTACATTTGGAATAAGAATAAATTCATCTCAAATAACTTATAAATCTTATTTATATACTCACACTAACTTTCACCGACCAAAAACTTATTACACAATTCTAGTTTTCATATCCATTTTTTTCTTTATAATTTATACACATTTCATCTAAATTCAAATATACAATATTCAAAAGAAATGCAAAGTTAAACCTACAAAGAAGGAAAGGGGAGGGATGAAGGCTCTACTTTGATCTTCCCACTTAGAAAACTAATGCAACTCAATTTATGGTGACACCAACTCAATTGATCTCTTGTAATCCTTTGCATATTCAGTACCCTTGACAGCAACTTCAAATCCACTAAAGTAAAGAAATAAATTTCATCATCTTGTTCATCTTCTATCGTATCTCTCATATTTTTCCTCGTAATCATCTTCTTCAACTTTCTCACTTTCTGTAGAGAAATTTTTATAAAGAATATGTGAGTGTTCAATGATTGAAAATATATGATGATATTGTAGAGCGTGAGAACCAACCTGTTGTAGATCTGAAAAAATTTGGTTTAGAATATTAAAATGTGTTGGACTTTTGCATTCTTGTTCTGCCTTTACATGGAACTTTAGAGTCGATATGTGGGCAAGTTTATCGGCTCGAATGAATTGCCAAAGGATTCTTACCGATTCTTGCAAGATCTCAATAAACCTATCAATTTTAATTGCACTTTCATTGTCATCGTCGGCCCCATCCCCTATTATTTCTTTTTTGTCATTTTCTTTTACTTCATCTTCTGCAATAAGAAGCAAACTCATAAGCAATCTAGTTTTTAAAACACTGGATTAAAAAAAATATAGTTATATTAGTTGTGATTGGAAGCATATTTGAAAATTGAATTTCAATTTAAAAAATTGTTGAAGGTATTTATTAATATATTTGTAAGCTACCTGATAGCTATCATCTAAATATTTAGTTAAATCTAAAATATTATTTATTAATTTATTAACCGCTAACATTAGCTCAACTTTAGTTAATACCTACTCTTTAGGTCTTCAAAACCACATGCAAATAAATAAACAATTTTCAAAGCCAAATATGTTAAATAAAATTCAATGGAATGGAAAATTAGGCCTTATACATGTCCCTATTCTTTGTTTTTCAATAAAAAAACAAAATCCAAACAAAAAATTTTAACAACATAAATAAAAACATTTGAGAGTTGACCCACATTTCCACCTTTTAATAGAAAAACAAATAACAAAGTGAAAAGAAAGAACAATTTTCTTAAAAAAATTTGTCTCTCTTTCTTAAAAAGAGAGTGAGAGGGGAAAAAAAGAAGATAAGAAACAGCAACATTATGGCTTGAAACTTGAGTTTAAAACACCATTTTTCTGACCTTTGATAATAGGAACTTGAAGAAGCTTTCTCCTGCCAAGTCGATTTCTAGCGTAACATTCAACTCTGGAGCCTTCTTCAAACGCTTCATTCTCCATAAATCTCTGAATCACCACTTGAAAATGTTGAAATTTTCCTGCAACTTCATTGAATCTGCAGCTTCCACAATCCCCTCTATCGCACACTTCCAAGGCTTTCTTATACTGCCGCACAAGAAACTCCCAAGAATCCCACAATTGCCCCACGTACACCACTTCCAAATCCCCGTCAATTTCTCTCTTCTTCCCTGCCCCCAAATCACCCTTCTTTGGCCTGCACGCGCACAAGCTTTTCGATAAAACAGAGCCCATTGGATCTTTCGACTGCATCATCTTCAAATCTGAAAAAATTTCCATGGGGGAGATTCATAAACAAGTCAAGGATATCAAACTATGAAGCTAACTTTCAAGTATAACTCACCTTTTGCGTACAACTTTTGGTGATTTAAAGTGTCGTATTTTTGCATCCTTTCTCTGTAAATTTTATGGCATTTGTGGAGTTCTTTCGTAAAGTTTCTGAAATCGAAGTTTTCTTTCGTCCTCCATGGCTTTGGATCTTCTTCCATTGGTATTGTGTACTCGGATTCTTCTGGAATTTGGGGCAGCCCAGGACCGTGGCCTTTGACCTTTTGCAGCAATTCTATCAGGTTCTCCTCTTCCGACACAAATTTATCGGAATCTTCAATTTTCCGATCATTCTCTTTCGGGGTTTCTTCTTTGATGTCCAACTCTTCGTTGCTGAAATCATCGGTGCAATTTAAATTATTTTGGGGAAAATTTTCTGGGTCTTCTCTGGGATGATGAAGGTTGAAATCCGGATCAGGAATTGAAGGAACCGAACCATTCTCGTTTGAAGTATCAGAGATGGATGAATCAACATTCTCTCTAGTTCCAATGAATTCCTCGAAAGTTGGAAACCGAAAGCTTAGAGCTGAAAAGGGCGTTTCTTTTTCTTCAAAATCAGTACTCTTCTGTAAAGTTTCGCTACAGTCTTCTTCAAGAATTGGTTCTTTGCCGGGAGGAGTGAAATTGCAGTCATTATGGTGTTTTCCTCGAGTTTTGATTTTGAAGTACCTGGAGAAGAAGACGAAGAACAGAGCACTGAACAAGACCAGAACAAAAAGCTGGTCTTTGAACAGAAACCTCATTGGTGAGGGAATCGATGAAATTGGTTGCTCTGTTTTTGGAAGAGAAAACAGAGCATGCTTCTGAAACCTAGAAGATTGGGAAAGAATATGTTTCTGAAATTTTGTGGACAATTTCTGGTCAAAACCGTTTGGGAAAGTTGAATCTCGTATTTGATAACCCGGAAATTTGAATGTCGTTTAGGGAATTCGGAAATTTCTGGAAGGCAGGTTGATAAACATGGAAATTATTTAGTTTCTCATAAAAAAAAATAAAAAATTCTGATTTGTAAGCCCGAAATCAGGTATTGCAATTTACATGGAAGAAATAAATTATTTTACATTTTTTTTTGTATTAAAAAAAAAAGTCGAAGCGCATGGTTGTGGTTGTGGCCACCATATATAATCCGTCGTTTTCCTTAAATATTGACTTTTTAATTATCAATTTATTTTAGTTTTATTAACTGAGACCGAACCTTAAAATATATTTGACAGATAAGATAATTAGTAAAATAAGAACAAAATATTACTAGTTATTAAAAATGAACCACGTCTTGAGTTTTTTCTTAAAGTACAAGCCAAGTTGAATCTAGATATGTATATCTATAATCTATATAAAATTATAATGTTGTTCTTAATTTTTAAAATAATGCCTAAATTTATCAAATAAAGAAAAAAAAACAAACAAACAAAAATCTATAGTTTGTTCTTATTAAATTATTATTTTTTTAATTTAGAAAATCATCTGCTCCTGCTCTCTCTTTCTTCTCTCCTTTATTTAATGAACTTTTTTAATACCTTTAAATTTAAAAAGCATGCCACCCACCCAATAAATTTTTTTAAGATAAATATGCCACCCACAATTAATGGTCAATAATTAAACAAATTATCAACAAACTATTAAATTATATTAATTTAATTTAAATAATAAAATGTAATAGGAATTTTTCCTTTTCTGAGAAGAAAGGAAAAAAAATTTCTTTTAAATTTATTAGATAATTATAACTTTTAATTATATTTAATATTTAAAGTTTTGAATATAATTTAATTTAAATAATAAAATGTAATAGGATTTTTTCTTTTCTGAGAAGAAAGGAAAAAAATTTATTTTTAACTTTATTAATAATTATAACCTTTAATTATATTTATTATTTAAAGTTTTGAAATTTTAAAACTTAAGGATTATTTCATTTTCTTTTTATCTATATCTACATTATATATAAAATGATGGATTTAAGAAATTTTTTTTGAAAAATAATGTCCTTAATTTTAGAAATAATGTCTAAATTATCCTTGTTTCAACCAAGAAAATTCGATCTAACAATACGATCTTTAAGAACACTGGAAGATAAGATCTTGCCAAAAAAGAGTTAACCCTATGTAGGTTTTGTCAATACAAAATATGATTTCTTAAGTAAAATTCAAATATCCAAATTTCCGTACATCTCCCTTTCAACTTAAAAAGTATTTATAGAGAACTTAGATAATCGTTGAGAATTCAAATTCACAATTATCTCCGACATTTCAAGTGCAAAGTATGCATTAGGGTGGAGGGTGTGKGGGGGGGGGGGTGGGATATAGTTGCATAGTTATCCATCGAATGTTGGAACCGAGTTCGGAGATAAACAATTGAGTTCGGTTATTCCACTGCATGAGTCCTTCGAACTAATTTTCGAACTCTTACCTTGTGAGGTTTGTACACGTGGCTTTCGATCAAATTATCGATGATGTGTTTCCTAGGTGAAATTCTGCCTTTATCTGTCCTTATAAAATTATTATTATTTTATTGAAAATCATCTCACTCACACTCTCATGTTCTTCTCTCCTCTATTTAAGAGATATTTAATACCTTTAAATTTAAAAAGCATGTTACTCACAGATTTTTTTTTACCGCGCATGCCACTCACAATTAATTACTAATAATTATTAAATTATATTAATTTAATCTAAATCATAAAATGTAACATGCAAAATTTTTGTTACTTACATAAATTAATTCAATAACTATAACCCTTGATTTTTTTTTTTACAAAAACTATAACCTTTAATTATATTTAGTTTTTGAATATTAGAAGTTTTAGAAATTTTAAAAGTTTAATTAGCCACTCTTTCATTTCCTATTACTATAAAAGAAGTATTTTTCAACCTAATTTTTTTTACTTTTTTTTTAATTTCTAGATCTTTTAAAAAAAAATTTTATGGCTTTCTAAATTTAATAAAATTTATGGATTTCAAATCTCTATAATTAGTGACTCTCTCCTATTTTTCTATACACAAGTTTTGGATTGTCATCTTACTTAGTTTTTCTTCCTCCCTTTCTCTTCTCTTAAGAGAGCATAACAGCTTATCACGTTACGTTTTTTGTTTGAAATTGTCCTTTTATTTATTTATTTATTTATTTTCCTTCAAAATATTGACTTACACTCCATTTGTCATCAAAAAAACAAGAAATAAATTTGAAGGTCATTTAGTCCAACTCTAATGATAGGTTAGAGGAGATATGTAGGAACTTAATCTACACTTCTTCAAAACACACATTATCTAAAGAAAAAGAGAATATATAATCATTTAGATGCAAATCTAAAAGTTATCTTTGCCCTACATTGTCGATAAAGATGTAATAATTTTATTTATATAATGTAATAATGATACTTAATTGAATTAATTGAACTATATTTTTTGTATACTAAAATAAAACTAAAAATACCAGGTGTTGACTGTTCATCAGTAATAATCATGATATTTGGAGTTTTCATTTGAAGCAATTAAGATTAATATAAGTTCCTTTAGCTCGGTGTTGTACCTCCAAGGCGAGCTATTGTGTATCTCAGTCGGCCGACCTAACATGATACGAGCCGACCTATTTTGTGTTATCTGCAGGAGTGTAAATACTATGTTGTCCTGACAGCATGCCGTGTCTCATGGATGATTGTGTGGCAATTCTGCAATTATGGGGAACCCTATCGAAGTTCATCCCTATAAATAGGGATGCCTGCCCTTTATACAAGGTATACGAATCCATTTATACTTAAGGCGATAGTGACTTACTTGTTCGTCAGAGTGCTAACCTAGTTTTGCAGGTTCCTCGGCGATGTGAGAGATCTTCGCAGTTATTCCAATCTACTCGGATTCTAAACTTGGTCAATTTTTGAATTATTACTGGATAAATTATAATATTGTTCTTCATATATATGTATGAAGATTTTTTTTATTTGAGTTTGTTACAAATATATATATATATATATATATATATTTCCCATAAAACATCACGATTTAAAAAAAATAAAAAATATCTATAAAACTATTTTATTTTTGACATGAAAAGTAGAACATTTAAAACAATCCAATTAATTGAAAATATATAAGGCAAATATCCGATTAAATCAATAAATTGCAACAAACTACCTTTGGAAAAAAAATCAAATGAAATCAACAATATTTTTTCTCAAGTCCATCTAAATATTTTAAACTAAAATTAACTGAATATTAATAAATAACGAAAAAAGAACAATATTGGATTGGGAAAAATTATATCAAATTCCTGAAATAATTTATAAAGTCTGGCTTAAATGAAATTCTCCCCTTACACTTGAAAGTTTAATTAGGCATAATTTTTTGTATTCTTTTTCTCTCTAAAAACTCGTGACACGTGCATCTTAAAGATCCCCAGTTTACCCATAATCTCAACCGTCAATTAGAAACGTACAACAGCCGTTGGATCTAGGGCTTCAAAAGCTTAAAACCCTAGCCCCCCATTTATCCAATTTCTTCTACTGCTGCAGCCCCTCATTTTGCCGCGATTTCTCTCCTAAACGCAGAGGCAGAGCTCGAGGTCAATCGAAGATGGTGCAGCGACTTACGTACCGTAAGCGTCACAGCTACGCCACCAAATCCAATCAGCACCGCGTTGTCAAGACGCCTGGTATTTTCCTTCCCACTTAATCAATTCCTTTCAGTAGCTCATGTTCTCCCTTTCATGTTCAATTTCGCAAAAAATTTTAGTAGCCATGTTCAAGTTTTAGTACCAGTCGCATAATGGATGTCGTGATGCTGCGTTTTAGGGGGGAAGTTGATCTATCAAACCACCAAAAAGAGGGCCAGCGGTCCCAAATGTCCCGTTACCGGAAAGAGAATCCAAGGGGTATGTGTGATTTTATGCCTTCGATCAACTAGGCGTTATTTAAGTGTGATTATTATTTATTGATTGGAAGTTCTTTATTTTCTTTGGGTGTTTGTTTTTCCGACTTTTTATCATTCTTATTGAATCTGATGTGTGGGCATTCTCATGTTCTCTCACTGATGCGGATGTATTTCTCTTTTTGCATTTTCTCCCCTGTTCTGGATATACCGTGGTATATCTTTCTGTTGTGAATCTGTGATAGTTTGAAAAGTAGTAGTAGTTTGGTTCGAAGTTCCATTTCGTGCCTCTTAGTTTTTGATTTAATCCAGAATGTATGAAGTGTTTTATCTATATTTGTAAATACGTCTATAATTCCTTTTATTCAAATGCCACACCTTTTTTACCATTTCAAAACTTTGTTTTGTTGTGTAATCTTGGCTAGATAACAAACTTTATTTGGCTTTTTTAATTCTGTTTCTGTACTATGAGCCAGCTTTGATTAATAGATATGTTATTCAGCATTTAAGCTTAGCTATTCCTAACGAATGGAGGACATGAATGTCAGTTGCGTGTAAACTCCAAGTCTCAAGTACATATACTGTCCAAGTTGTAACAATTGTGGCATTTTAGTGATCAATTGTGACTCCTCTCTTTCTTTTAGCTGACAGTAAATGCATCTGTTTCTGTATCGTCCCTTTTTTATTCTTATTTTAATTTTATTTACAGATTCCGCACTTGAGGCCTGCTGAATACAAGAGGTCTAGACTTGCTAGGAACCGTAGAACCGTTAATCGACCATATGGTGGGGTGTTGTCAGGCAGTGCCGTTAGAGAGAGGTATGGGCTCCATTGAATTAACCCTGATATTTTTGGTTTCTTTCATTTTTATTCTCCAATCAAAGGAGACAAACTTAAGGAGGATTTCAACACTGCAGGATTATTCGTGCTTTTCTGGTAGAAGAGCAGAAGATTGTGAAAAAGGTATTGAAAATCCAAAAGGCAAAGGAAAAGTTAGCCAGCAAGAGTTAAATGTGTAGGTGAAAAGTAACTGCTCTGTGTTTTAGCAGTATTTTGCCCTGAATTCGCAAAACTTAGTGTTGATAGCGATTAGGTGTTTCTGTTTGGTTGATTTGATCATCACATTGTCATTCTTCACTTCGTCAACAAATCAATTTCTGAGGTCTTGTTTAGTGATATTATGTATCGACTAAGGCAATTCTTGGATGTCATTTTAGCTCCCTTCTAAAGATTTTTGTACTTTGTTGCTGAATCTTATACGTTCATGCTTCTTGATTTGGTATTTGAATGGAACTTTTCCGATCAATCATTAGATGGAGTTGATTTTATTTCGTTTCAATCTTGATTAAGCTTATCAAATGGAATACTCCTGATTGACAAGTTATTGCAGATTTTGGGCAACAATTTTTTGTATGGAAAGTTTGTGTTTGTACTTATCAATGAGAAAGCCTCAATCCTCTGGTCAATGATCGTAAACTGTTCTTGTAGGTTCAAAGTGTCGTTTTTAGTATTTAAATTCTGTATAAACATTCTTGAAGTTCTTCAGTCTATTTAATAGATATATTATATATGTCACAAGTGGTAAGTCTTGTTGAGTTCAAATCTTATATTGCTCCTCAAAAGGGAAAAAAAGTCTTATGTTGAGTTCAAATCAACGAGCTTGAAATTTATGACATTAAATGCAATATGAAAATTTAATTGCAAGGATTAAAACTGATTTTCATTAGAACTCAAAAAAAGGAAAAAAAAAATCATTGTAGTATATAGTGACTAGTTTTGAAGTGCATTAAATCTTTTTCATATATCTTTTCATTTTGTTTGGTTAATCACTTTTGTTTACCTAGCCAATAAGTAATGTAAGATAGGGAAGCAAATTTTATGAAATTACAATGCAACATCAAAATGTTGGTCTACTACAACGATTAAGATGAAAATTTCAACTGAAATTCCAGAAGGTTCGAATTAAAAAAAAAGGATTTAAAAAATTGGATTGAATAAACATAATTATTAAAGTTCATTGATTTAAATTGTAATTTGATAAAAATCCAACATATTTTATGAGGATGAAATCGTTTAATCTATTGGCATCTTGGATGTTTGTAACATGTGGGGTGGGGGATTCAAACTTTCGAGCCTCAACCTTGGAGTCGAATATAATACCTTAATCTGTTGAATTAGGATCAGGTTAAGCATCATAAAAATATAATTACCATAAATTAGATGTATTTGAAAATCCAAACATAAAAAAGTTAACTTTTTCGAACTGTAATAGCTAAAATTAAATATCTGTCCTTGTTGAAAACAAAGAAGAATAAAAAAAAAGAAATGTTAAGAATGAGATTCGAACCCATGCCCTAAGCATCATAAAAATATAATTACCATAAATTAGATGTATTTGAAAATCCAAACATAAAAAGTTAACTTTTTCGAATTACCATAAATTAGATGTATTTGAAAATCCAAACATAAAAAGTTAACTTTTTCGAACTGTAATAGCTAAAATTAAATACCTGTCCTTGTTGAAAACAAAAAAGAATAAAAAAAAAGAAATGTTAAGAATGGGATTCGAACCCATGCCCTAAGCATCATAAAAATATAATTACCATAAATTAGATGTATTTGAAAATCCAAACATAAAAAGTTAACTTTTTCGAACTGTAATAGCTAAAATTAAATACGCCTTAGACCAACTCGGCCATCTTGACTGCTTGTGAAATAAAACGAAATATATGTAAATTGTAAAAGCCAATACCTGTTATTGTTTATGTTACCATACATTGTGATTCATATTTAATTATTTTTGAAACATAAAAGTTTCAACATATCATAATTATTCACAAAATAAAAAGAAAGAAAATAATAAAATGTAAAACTATTTTGTATTGTGTTTTCGTACTTTCTTTTATTAGTTATTGTACAATAAGTTTCAAACATTTCAAACCTTTAATCACACTTTTTTTCTTTTCAAAATTTTGCACACATTTTCCTCTAATAATATATATATTGTCACATACAATAATTAAGAAATATCAAAGATTTGAGTATAAACATGTTGATGTAAAATACCGCCAGTCTAGAAATGGTCTCATCAACAATCAAGTTCTTAGTATGAATATATATTAGATTAAAAAGGTTACCATAAAAACAAACATAATTTTCTTTTGTTTTCGTTCTTTGTTGTTTTATCCTCTTCAAGCAATCCTAGACTATTCTCCAATAAATGGTTACTAAAGAAAGTAGTTTCCAACTTCTATCCTATTTTATTATTATTATTTTAAAATCTAGCCAACACAAATGTTCTAAAAGATAAGAACTAGACAAGAGAAAAAAAGAATCCCTATACAGACGTAAATTTAAAGAAATATATTAATATTCATAGAGTTCTAAGTTCACCAATTTTAGCTGAGTTCATTTTCAGATAAGATGTTCGTTTGAGATTTTGAACTCCGATAGGGTCCATGTCAAAACTAATTGATAATAAGAGAAATAGTCTACTTATATTATAAACTTTTATTAAATTTCTTTTATATTACTGCGCGGGATGTCTAACAAAATATAAATAAAAAAGTGAAATTTCTTACAGTACTTGACTATTTTATGTTACAATGAAAATTAATTTGGAAATAGTAAGGCATATTAATTTGGGTCGGCAAATTGCAAGGTTTTGCATAGTTTGAGCAGAAGATACAATGAATCCCATCTCCCTTATTTTCTCCCATACATTTAACCTCCCCTATTATTGAGTTATTTCTTCCTTCCCAAAAAATACAAACTGCATTAATTGTGAATCCTATCCAATACTGCATTACGGGATATGAATTCCAACCTACTATTCGTAAAAAAAGATGATGGTCTCATATTTTAATGAGATGGTTCCTAATAACATATTCAAGTTGATCTACTCGATCAATTTATTATTTTTCATGCATTGCATGTCCAAGTACGTTATGATACCCGACAAGTCACGATAATCAAGTCCGGCATGAATTCAATTGTATAGATGATTCAAGTCAACAGATTAATTACTCACTATGCTTAGAGTCGAAACACTAAACAGATTTGAACTTAGGTCCTACATGGAGTCGAGGTTGAGCATGTTGTTAACTTGACCACCATTGACTTCATTCTTAAGAAGTTTTGAGTGGACGGGACCCTTCCCTTTGTGAGGGTTTCGCAGGTATATATTAGGAGGATTCAATCATCTCGATTTGTTCAAGATTGTGATAGGTCTACTCCATAGCCTCTATTTGTGCATGCATTTCGTTTGTCTCGATCTGATTCCTAGGAGTATTAGACTCTTGATGATTTTATGATAAATGACTTTATTTTAGTCGCTCCCCATATACGACACCAAATGTTTATGATGTAGCTCAAAATTGGTAAGATTGATTATGACCAAGCTTTAGAGCGAGCTTCACGAGGGAAAACCTTAGCGTGTGAGGGAAAGATCACCAGCACAAAGAAGCAAACACCCCCCAACGTTAAAGTCAATAAGGGCAACAAAATCTTAGGTCTCAAGCCGAGCTTAGATTGCGTACCTGGAGTTAAAATGATGCTTCTATTTATAGAATGAGATCCGACATGAATGTTCGGCCGCTCGATTGTACTGTAGGAGAGTCGTTGCTCAAAGTTGGTCTCTCGGGTTCCTAAAGTCAGAGCATAACCTTACCTTTGATCAAGTGGAGTTTGACCGAGCTTACGTGTCACCTGATCTCGCTTGAGCTTTAAGATCGACCATGTTATGTCCGAAATTTTGAGAAAAGATATTCTTACATGCCGTTATTTCCAAGCTCCCCACGTGATAAGTTCATTTTTACCCTCCAACCAGAAGAAAAGAAAAACCTTGTTTTAAAACATCTAAAGTATAAATCCTCCTACTTTTTGTGAGTAATGCATTGTGAAAATTATTGGACATAGCCCAACAATCATTCTACTCTAAAATTAAAGCAATAGTACTGTTTCCTCTACCTTATACAATATCCCGTATACGCTATCAATTAATTTTACTAATAACTATTTAATTAAAGACTCTTTATTGATTAAATGGTGGCCGGCCCGTCAGTAAATAGATTGAATTAATTTTACTGTTTCTCCATTTAATCTAAGTATCTATCTTAATCCAGCACACACATCTCCATCGATATAATTATATATGGATTATGGAGCACACGCATTCCATCCACGTGTCGAAAATAGATTGGATTATATTTACTCAAGTTTAAGGAGCTTGTGAAGTAAAGGTTAATATTAGTGGGTCAATCTAGCTAGTTCTCTAACTTTTTTTTTTTTTTTTTACCGGACACTCTCCCCTTGTCCAACTGTTATAGAGCAACTCTTAGACTTATCCAAAAACGATGAGAAAGAATTGTGAATGTTTCAATTTGACATATCAAGAGGGCAAAATTGGTGAGTTCGATTGACTTGATCTTGACAAAAATTTTCTATCCTAGTAAGTTCACACATAAAATATGCTATATTGTACATTTGTTTGGTTAAGGCCTGAAGTATGAATTTTCACCATATATTCAAGGTTTGAGTAGTAATATAAAAAGGTGATGACACCATGACAAAGGAAAAGATTCACACTTAGACAAAGAAAGAGTATGAATTTTTAAAAAGATGAAAAGATAATAGAAAGAAGGCTATTTATGAAAGGAGATGACTATTAATAACAAGAAACGACTGTTTATAAAATAAACTTCTTCGGAATCATTACAAAGTACAACTATTCATGAAATTATATAAATATTCATAAATTAGATAAAACCTTTTAATTAAAAGGCCCATTCTTTTCATTTAAAAAATGGAAGACAATCTTTGCCTTCCTAAATTCAAAAATAATAACTAATATATCTTAATTCTCAAACATTACACTACCTTATCTTCAATACTTTGTCTTTCTTGTCCTCACCATCTTTGACAATTGTTAGAACCAAATGAAAAAAAAAAACCGAAATCCATGTGTGTAGTATTCAAGATGATATTACAAAATTGTGTGTATTTAACTATTAATTTAGATACGGTAGAAAAAGGTCTCACCAGCTATATAGCTTGTTGGAGTGGTTTGAATTTCCTTGATTGGTATATTTTTCTGGAAGGATTTTAATTGAATAACAGCAAGACAGATTAAAAATATTTTTGGAAGAATATGTGTGACATGTAAGAAATTATTGTACAATTTAACGTATTAGAAATAAAGAATATGAAACGAGATATATTGGAAGGGAAGACATTCATTTATATTTTGCTTTAATACTTTATAGTAGAGTCAGCTAGGAAGGCCATTATTCACCACACATTGGGGACTGAGCTAAGAAAATAAAATTAAAACATAAATAATGGAAAATAAAAATTAATAATGGGTTTATTCCTAAGGGCTGCCACATTGAATATCACGCGGTTTCGCGAGGCACAGAAGATCAATTTTTTAAATTTTGCTACAGCAGCTGACTTGGGCTTACTGGTGTTGCAAATATTTAATGCTCTTGCTGTCACTTTTTGACTCTTTGGCTACCCCTTTTTCTCTCCCTCTTTGCCATTTCTAATTTAAGGTCAGCGTTTATTTTATTTATTTTCCTTATCCTTCTATTTAAACTCTTGTCGTGTGGAAAAACTTTAGAAGAAGAAGAAGAAGAATAGAAATTTGGTGACGATGGGGAGGCCTCCATGTTGCGATAAAGAAGGTGTGAAGAAAGGGCCATGGACTCCAGAGGAGGATATTGTGTTGGTGTCTTATATTCAACAACATGGCCCTGGGAATTGGAGGGCTGTTCCCACTAATACAGGTTTCTTTTTGGTTCCATTTTTTAAGTTTTAATTTGTTTCTTTGTTTAATTAATTAAACTTGTCTTGTAATAATAATAATTGCAGGGTTGCTGAGATGCAGCAAGAGTTGCAGGCTGAGATGGACTAATTACCTCAGACCAGGAATCAAACGGGGCAACTTCACTCACCAAGAAGAGAACATGATTATCCATCTTCAAGCCCTTTTGGGAAATAGGTATAATCCTTTTTTCCTTTTTTTTTTTTTTAACATCTACCCGGGTTTGAGGAATAGTTGAAGCCATATCCAATCGAAAAAGGATGTTATCCAAATGCAATTCAAATAATTACAGTAAAACTTGACCCATTGATCATTCAATAACTTTTCTATATTATTTATTGGAATGACTTAAATTATTTGAAAATTAAGTGTACTAATAAAATTTAAAATTGGATCGAGGACAAGTAAAATAACATTGACAATGGAAAGAGTAACTCATTTATATTGAGTTCACCAATCTTGACCGGATCCCAAGAATGTTGATATGTTTAATAATTTTATCCAGATGGGCTGCCATAGCATCGTACCTTCCGCAGAGAACGGACAATGACGTAAAGAACTATTGGAACACGCACTTGAAAAAGAAGTTGAGGAAGCAGCTTCAAACCAACAACTCAAACTCAGGAGGAGAAATGGGAAGAGGGCAATGGGAGAAGAGACTTCAAACGGACATTCGAATGGCAAGGCAAGCGTTATGGGAAGCCCTCACACCTCAGAATTCAACCCCTCCAAATTTCTCAGACTCTGAAACAATTACAAACCCCTTCCCCTTCCATTACTCCTCCAAATGCACAACATCCTACGCCTCAAGTACTGAGAATATCGCCAGATTGCTCACTGGATGGATGAACAAAAATCCACCAAATAACCCTCCCACCTGCCCCAACACAAGCGATGAATCCGAGGCTTTTGGGTCATTTTTCAGATTTGAAAGTTTTGAATCTGAAAATTCTTCAGATTGTGATCAGCCTGAGACCAAGCTTTCTGTGCTGGAAAAATGGCTGCTTGAGGAAGGTGGTGTTCAGGGAATTAGATCAGATTCATTGCCTGAAAATGAGGATTTAATTAACTGAGGGGGTTTTGGTTTTTAGCTGATTTTTAGAGTTGCCAACATTTGCAGAGGATCGGACGTAATGTAAATTCCATCTTTATGTTTTGTTTTACTGTCCTTTGGTTTAATTTTTTTTTTTTTTAGTGTTTTGGTTTTTTCTTGTCTTGGAACTTTACATTAACAATTTGTTCTCATCGTTCCAGGAATATTTATGGCTAATGCTAGTGAGTAGTTGGGGCTATTATGGTACTGAAAGTTTCCAGTGTTTTAAGTCTCATGTAAGTTGAGTTTGATGTTAAGTTTGAAAATGGAAAGGCATAAAAGAGAAATAGGGAGAAATTTTGGGATCGAATGTGTGATTTAGAAATGACAAATTTTTTTTAAAGGGCTAGTTTTTAAAATGAAAATTTATATATCAAAATATGGGGTGAGAATTAAAATTTACAAGAAAGTTCGGATGGCTTAGTTAATTACTCAATTATACCGCCCTAATTGAATTATAGATTTTTTTTAATAAAGGAACAATTATTTTTCATGATTCACAAAATACTAAAATTATTCAACAATTCTAAATAATTTTTTAATCAAACTCAATAATATCGTTTGAACTTAAATATGTAACACTTAATTTTTCCCTCTCAAAGAGAAAACCAATCATTTTTTCTGGAAATGAAAACTATTTCATTAGGTATTTGAAAAATATACAAAAAAAAAAAAAGCTGCAAATACCAACGAATCAATTTGGAGCTGGCACCCTTAAGTATTTGAAGGGAATCAAGACCTAATTTCGTATCATTTTAAATTTATCATTAAATTCAAAAACTTAATTCGATAGGAATTGTTTTTTAGTACAGCATGTGGGTGGGGGATTGAATTCACAACCTTTGGAAATATATGCAAATTAGCGCTGAACTATGCTTTGATAGAAAACTTAAACATAATATAATCAGTTAAAATATTAATAACTTCCTTTATATACTTTGATGGTTCATTTGTAACATGTGTGTGTATATATATATATATTATAAAGCAAAAAATTGACCCATGATATGATATGATATATATATATATATATATATATATATATATTTTTTTTGATGTTTTTCATATTCTTAACAAAGTAAAAATGTCTAGCTTATATGATTAAGATTTTTGTAGCAAAGCCAACGGGATGAGAAAGGAATAGACGTGTAACTACAATATGTTGCTTAGTTTAGTTTGGGCAAACATGAATCAATAATCTATTTTGCTGTTTCTTAATTAATTTTCTTCTTTTGAATAGTCTTTACTATTTTATTCTACACCTTAATTCCCATGCTATGATATAGTTATCAATCTTATCCAACCAATCAAGTAGAAAAGTCTAAAATTCTATTTCAATCACACTCTAAGGTCAACTTATAAAGATAATTAGTAACACAAACAACTTCTAAAAAGTTAATTCAAGAAAACCTTTTACGCAAAGAATCTTCATAGGAGACAAACCAAGACTCTGTTTACCTAAGAACCAATGAATGAGAATCAAAATTTTCATTTCGCCTTTGATGGTGTTTGCTAATTATCAAGGATGGAATTAATTGGTGTGACTTCGCTCAAATTTTGTAATTCCTTCCCATTTTGATTGATGTTTATTATAAAGTTAAAAAAGGAAAAGACAGAGAGTAGAAAAAGGACAGAAAATAACATGGCTATAATTATTAAAGTTTAAAATATTACTTGTTTGGGTTATTTACAGGTTGGAAAACAAGTTTGGCATGATGCGATGGCAGGCGTATATTACACACTGTAAAGGCATTGAAAAGAAGCAGAAGGTCTCATGAGAATTGTTGCCAATTAAATTGGCTTAGAACTTGAGGAAAAAGAAGGAAAAAAAAGAAGAAGAAGGGGTTGGGGATTTGTCACATTTTCCAAGTTGGATGTGGAAGAAAAAGCCAATAAATTCTTGCACTTTCTTCTGCAATGAGCTGTTGCTGGCGTGGACAGCGCAGGATTAAAATTAAAGTCAAATGTTGTTAGTTTGAAAAAGAGTCTCTCCCTTGGACACCATTTAGTGCTACACAACATGAGTTGGTCAACACAAATGAAGTGAGAAGTGATGGAATCAAGAGCCCGTATCAATACAATATATGGAGTGGGTTTTGCTTTTTTTTTTATTCATTACTTTATTTAGCTTCATTTTGATTTGGGGTTATAGGGGTTATAAATTTGAACGTTGTTATATTTTTCTTGATTTATCGTTTGAGATATCATGCATTCCATCTTTAAGGGATAGTTTGGGTGACTTGAGATTTCAAAGAATGTAACACAACTCTACGACCCCCGACTCCTAAGTAATTAAAATTATGTCTTCCATTTATATTTCTATGATATTTCTTTTAGGTCTTGTTTGCTTCAATTTTTACACTTTTTATTTTGGGCTTTGCCAAGTGCAAGTAGTTTGGAAAACCAAAGTGATGTGGGTCATGGACAAGGTCATTGCATGGTAAGGGCATCTCATGAGTCATTAAAGTGGTGCATGTGGATACATATATAGTATATCATGTAAAGACAAGAAGCCAATTTGGAGATTGCCAAGTCACAACACACAGCCACTAAAATGGTCCATGTTACTGCCTTTAATTTTCATGTGTAACGTAACTGATCAACTTTTCAAAATCAAGAGAGAACTAATTATGAGGGCTACCTCAACTCAAAAATATTTCGAAAGCTCTGTATTGGATATATATAAGTTCGGTTAACTAAAGGCAGAAAGTGAAGTTGCACAAGAGTGTCATTTTCGACATCACGATGAATAAAGTAACGAGATGTTGAAGTATATATGCTATAATTTTATTAAGGATCTCACTTTGAAAAGATAAGTAACCTAACAAAAGTTTTATAATAAACATGTGCTAGTTTAAGATGGAACCTTCTAACTCTTAATATGATATCACAACCCAACAAGCTTAAACAAGTATCCGGTCTGAAAATGACACCATCTTGAAGGAACATGTTAAAAATCCCACATTAAAAAGATTAAGACTTAACAAAAAGTTTAAATACAGATGGACTACTCTTTGTATTGGCCATTGATCAGTTAAAAATGAGAAATCTTAGTTGTCTCTCCTCTTTCGTATGTTTCTCACATCTAATGAAATGGATCCGATATATCTCTTCAGAAAAAGAAAGAAAAAGAAAATTTGTATATTTTTGGGTCTTTTGTCAAATAATATGAGCAAGAGTTGAAAGTGGATTCCCACGATAGATAAACATTGTCCCCTCAAGTGTCAAGCACATGCACATTTTGACATTTCTAAGCTTATTTGCTATCTCAAAATATTAATATTTGTCCATAAAAGTATACTTTAATCAATTTCATTTGAATGTCCTAATCAAGTTCCTAGATCACGCATCACAATAACAAAATTTGGTTTTCTTAAATACCGGCATGAAATTTACCCGTATGTATTGCATGCAATATTGGAACTTGGAAGAAGCATAAATAAAATAAAGAAGAGACATATTTCAACTTTGATATATTTAACCATTTAGTACTTTGCATTTTCCTCCTCTCTAAACTACTACCTATTTTTATTTTTATTAACTAATTTGAGACCACCTTAATTTTATTAGTGCTTCGGTTTTGATAAGACGAAAAATTTAAAGGCTGATATCTACGGAAGTTAAGGAAATAATAGGTAAAAGATAATAAATGAATCAAAAAAAGAGTAAAATTATTGGTTTGAAATATTACGAAAATAATTATAATTATAATAAAGTAATAGGAAAAAGATAAACTTGGTATAAAAAATTCTCACTTTATAACCAATCTATATATAGTATAGACCTTTCTTAAAAGTCAAAGTGTCTTGTATTTTAGAATGAAAACTTGATTATATCACACGTGACTTTAAGTTTAGTTATAATATATTAATATTCAAAATGAAAAGATAGGTATAATGGAAGTATTATGAGGTGAGAGATGAACTCACAACCTCTTGGTTGTAGATATATGCTAATTACCGTTTACCTATGCTCGGTTTGGTAAGTAGTAGTACTCCTCATTATTAATAGTGTAATATTGCCACAAAAAAAATGTCAAAATTAATTTATTTTAATCAACTTACTCTAATCATATCTTTGTTTTATTAAATTTAGGGAAACATATATTTTTGGTGTAATTGTTAGAAAGCTACATTTTAACCCTTCTATTGAAATTAAATAATTTGAAATTGTCCCTGGAATCATTATTTCGTTATTAAACTAAAATGGAAAGTTGATTGGGAACAAAATGATTATGTAGCGTTATTTTATGTGCTCTATATATAACATTATTAAGCAAAGTTATTAGTTTTAAATCAATGAGTGTCAAACCAGTCTAAGAAAAATTAAATTTTAAGTACGGTAGTCACTCTGAGATTTCAACCCATTCTTCAATAGACAAACCCTTAATTATTAAACAAGTTATTAGTCAAGAGAATAAATGGTCAAATCCCCATCAATACTATCTCATTTTGGTTAATTTCTAACTAAACTTTTTTTATATTTATCCCATTTCAGTCCCATAAACTGCCAAATACCACATTTTAGTCCTTAAACTTTCAAATTAACTCATTTATTATTTTTTTTCCAAATATAATTTCTAAAGGTGTGTTTTTTATAGGAAAAGTTGATAAAGACAAAATATTTAAAAAGTAAATCAGAAAAAGTATATAAAGGAAGGAAGAAGCAGTAAATTTAGCAATTGACATTTGCAGTAAATATGAACAAAATTGATAATATGTTGCAAACTGTATAGTTTTAGCCTTTTCATTTTGTAGACAGACACGATGATGGAGCAACCACATAGCAGAGGTCTCATTCTGGGTAATTTAATTTCCACGGCCCTACGTATTCTATGGTGGGAAAAGGCTTAAGAAGCAAAATTAAAATAAAAATGAAAAAAAAAAAGGAATCTTTGCAATTTGCAGTAGCTCGAAAAAGAAGAACAAAAAGTTTGTAATGCATTTTGGACAGTGACGATGGAGATCAAGTGGTTGAATTTACTAATTTCTTGATTTGGAGTGGGCATTCTCATTTGAAATCCCACCCTCTTTATACCATGATTACGAATTACAGATCTTATAAAAGATTGTGTGATTATGAAATTAAATCAATATTTGGGACATCAAACTTTTAGACACCTAAATGAGAAAAATGGGGACGGTTTGATTATTCTCTTCTTCGTTTGATATGACCGACCCTCAAATTTGAGAGATTAGTTCCAATGATTTGGATAATTCACTGTATTAAAAGGCTAATTTAATAGTCTTATTTATATTTATAAAAAAACTATATTTTGATTTGTCTCAAAGAAAAAAATTCTTTTCTCTCTATGTCGCTATGATTTGAATCAATTTCCTCTCTTGACTTAGATTGACAGACCAATCCATAATGCTTCGTACCTAAATTTTATTCGGCTTCAATCATCTATTCTCTCCCTATAAAGATTGAACTTTTAAAAAATATATATTTTTCTATTATATATTATATGATTATTTATGACTAGTTAGCTCTACCCCTCATTTTCAAAGCCTATAAATTTGACCTTTTAAACAAGACATCTTTGTTAACATATAAAATTAGATAAAAATATACGTTAATATCATAAAACTCATTAAAAAATTACTGTAATTAAAATATGATATATATATATATATATATATAATAGGTATTCATTCATCACTAAAGTAAAAAGATCATTTTAGAACTTGAAACCATCCTTGGTGTACAGATTTTAATCCTGGTCCCAAAAATCAAAAGATTTTAGTTTGCTCGTGTAGTCATATATAATAGGACTCATTATTTGAGTGGAATTCAGAGAATAGATATAAGCTAGAAATAGTCACGTTACTATAACTACTAATATTTTTGGAGGAAATAACATTATAGAAATTTGAACACAATAATACCTCATATTTTAATATCAGGTTAAATCAATACCAACTTCAAAACTCCGAGTTAATAAATTATGATATATATATTTAATCTTTTCTTAAATATATATTTTTTACATATTCCACTAAGTTTAAGCCAAGTCTAAGCATGCTTGTCTAACCCTTTGGGATATGAGTTGTTTATATATCCACACCATGACTGTCTCTTCAAACCAGCAACAGTGCATCAAGCTTATAGAAAATGTCAGGTATTGAGTCATTGGCTAGATTCGACCCTTTTGTTACGTTAATTATGAATATGCACCACAACACATTATTCTTAGCGCATGAAAGAAATGGACTATTGTTTTTCTCAACACATGTTTCGCAAAATCCATTTTCGAATCAAAGTATTCACAGTACGGGTCGAACTCAAATTTACATATAATTAATTACCATTCTTAATGAAGGCGTCGACATACACGTAAGGGGGAAAGTGACTACTACCCAAGAATTGAAATCTGTATAAGCTTATCATCTATATAAGTTCGGCATTTTGGAAGCAATGATGCAACATTTGAGCAAATTAAAAGCAAAACCAAGGGAATAGGGGGGTTGTAGTTTAAAATCAAGTGATTAATGAAAACTATTTGGATGTTGAAAACCTAACTGGCCAAATTCCATGCAAATTATCCCCCATATGAAATATCTTGAAAATCTTGGTATTATTGGGTGGTGAGATATTTGGGGTTTGGAATTGACATCTACCCTCATTGAAATACAACGTATACCTGAAGATTTGTTCCTTTATAGAGCTATATAGGTACCTCCAAAACTTGAAAGCCTAACTTTGAATCACTTTCACTTGCAAAAAACACCTTCACATGCCACAAATTTGGCTAACCCATATACTCTCATGATCCTATATCACTTTTTTTTCTCAAGTATCCTTTGTGCTTTTGCATATGAATAGGCAACCCATATTTTTGCTTAGCTTTGTACTACTTTGTTCTTCCTAACATCCCATTTTGGTATCACTAATTCTCTTTTTCTCATTGATGAATCATTCAACCATATTTCAATTCCCTTGTTGTTCATTTAATTTCAAATAATTTACATTGTCCCATTTTGCAAAATTTTAAGAATTCGTGGAGCCTTTGATTTTCTAATTATCTTTCTTTTTCCATATAAAATCTAGCTACAATGTTTCTTTCTAGCATTCTCTTTAATGTCTTAAATCTGGTCTTAGCTAATCAATAGCATCAACCTACCAGAAAAGATGGCAACTTCTTCCCTTTCAATAGTGGGTTGTGTGTTAGTTAATTTAAGCTTTAATCAACTTTTAAGTACCATTGTTAAAGAAACTTTCCACTATAACAACCAACATGATTGGATATGTGGGCCCCTTCCACATTCAATACTTAGTAATATTACCAAACAAATTTTGCCATAAACAGGGCGAAATAATTCTGGTTGGATTAAAAAAGCATTTTCCAATTTCAAAAAGCTCTGTAATATGTTCATAAAGGCGACACCTTCTTGCTCCATCTAGGGTTATAGATTCAAATTAAAATAACCAATAAAGTTTTCTTTGCAAATTTTACAAATATTTTTTGATAGAGGGCAATTCTTTTTTGAACAGAATTCTCCATTGGAAAACAAGAAGAAGAAATTGCTAACCAATATTTGAATTGTGGTGTGTCATAGCATTAGTGTCAATAATGAGTTAAAAGAATTAAATTTTCGAAAAATTATAAGTACTGAACTAAAACATAGTACAAGAAAGAAAAGATTTTTGGTCTATTCTTCAATCTCCAAAAAATTGATACACTCAAATTACATATAGATAATTCAGAAGAGATATTTTCAATCCTCACATGAACTTAAAAATTATCAGAGAGAACATTTCCTCTCGTTAATTCCAAGTTTTTTCCCTTTCATCAAGGACTCAAATACAATATGTTCATAACACACATAATTTCAGTTCAAGTGAAACAAAAAAAATCAAGCAACACAACGAGCTGAATCTCAACTCTCAACCCCATGAAGAGAAAATTTGTGTTTATTTAGCACCCAAAAAGGAAAAAAAAAAAAAAAACCTCACAATACACTGAAGTCAGTATTGTGTATACTCTCAAGTTCCATTCGAGGGAGGTGAAGAGCAATCACAAACTACCTCGGTTCCGACCTGTCGTCTATGGAAGTTCCGGTGGCAACCGCAGGCGGCGCAAGTCAGCTCGCCGCTCGTCCCTTCATCACCGCTCGCCATGAATTCTCGGCACCCGTCCACGGCGTACCCTCCGACCCCGGCGGCATGATTCTTCTGGCACTCCCCGTATCTAACACTCCTCACTGTGAAGGATGAAGCCGCTGTGTTTCTTGAGGGCTCTTCTCTTCTAAGCACAACTTGACGCTTCCTCATTTTCTGAGAGAAAAATGATCAAGAGAGAAAAAAGGTGCAATTTTTTTCCCTTTTTTTTTTTTGGTAATGTGTTTGAAGAAGATGATGATGGCAGAGGAATATTATGTAGTGTAGGGTTAGGAGAGATCGCCCAATTGAAAGCTGCGATAATTGGAGAAGCCCTAACCCCCAAAAACTTGTTTAAATAGAGTGTAAGCCCGAGGGGCAAAAAAAATATATATATATATATAACTTTTATGACATGTCATTTTCTCATTCATTAATTAATTAAATATATCATCTCATATAGATTAAGTAATTAAACTTTTCTTTCTCTATTAATAAATCATCATAAACATTAGTCCAATGGGGGAAAAAAAGAAGAAATTAAAAAGATACTTGATTTGGTCAAGAACAGCTGCTCTTGATCGTGAGGAGACAGGTTTTTTCTTTCAAGTCTTCTCATATATTTGGATGTCTTTTTGTTCTTTCTTTTAAATTTATTAATTAATTAAACAAGAACAGCAAACCGAGCTAGCCCCACATCTCTCTCTTTAATTAATTTCTCCCTCCTAAAATTGAAGAAAAGTTTTAAAAAAGTGTATTATATTAATTAATTTGTAGTAATGTGATCCCCTTAAGAGGAAAACAGTGGGAAAATGATGAATGTGATGAGGTAGTAGGCTTAAAATGGGGCGATGTACAACTCAGCATAGGGCAAAAATAAAAGCAATAATTCAGATGTAAAGAAGGCAAGATTTAAAGATGTTAAGAAAAGTTTTGATTCCACGTAGGTGCTTGATTGGTTTAATATAGAATTGAACAGCTATGTAAGTTGGCTTTTAAGCCTAATGTGTACTGTGGCCCCTAAAATGAGTGTAAAAGGGCAGGTTTTTGTGGGGCGTACTGCCTAAATTAATGCTCCACTTTGGCCTATGCAATTGCTCCAATTTTGCAAATAGAACATATAATGTACTTTGCTCAATTTGAATTATGCTTGATTTTAGTTTATGTGATTGGCAGGCGCCTTCAAGATATCGATGCGACATGACATTATTCAACACACGATCTCACAACTAATTTGATGGATTATAAACTTTTGGTTAAACATGTACCAAATAGTTATATTTTAACTTTACTTTCTACGAACCTATCTTAGTTATTTGTTAATCAAAAAACTAATCCATTTCTTGTCCATAATATTTTATGTAATTAGTTATTTGTAATTTAACTTACTTAGTTCTATGGTTGTTTAACCACTTAGATATATATACGTAGGTATATTTTGAAGTTGCAAAAGATTTGTTATATTATTTAATAATAATCATATTAACATGATATATTAAATCTTTGTGGAATTATAAGACTAGCATATTACCTTCAAAACCATCTATTTCAATTTTACATAATATATTATTCACAATTTTCTCTACACGTGGGCTTGATCTTTAAGTTTGATACAATATTAAATTATTCTTCTATCAAAAAGTTCAAGTTTACAAGTTATGATAAGATTAATCTTTTATAAATATTCTTTATTCACGAGGGGCTGACACGTTTAATAATACATGATTCTAATATGTCTTAAAAAACTATGCGATTTTTTTTTTCTTATGATTTTATTGTTTCCTTTCGGCCTAAATATAGACTCAATTCCCATTTTTGCCCTTAAAATTTGGTATGTTTCATACAGTTTCTCAATTTCAATTATTGTCCTTCAACTTCACTAGAATCCTTTCTAGACCGACAAATTTGGTTGCTAGCTTAATTATTCGAAATATCAGAAATTTGAGGAGAAAGAAAAGATAGCTTTATGAAGTTGCAGAATAATGTGTTTTTGTTATATATAAATTAATAATAATAACACTCATGATTATTATAATTACCGATATGAGATAAACGATTAAGACATCTTGTTCTTTATTTTAGAAGTTCAAGGTTCAATCCCCAAAAATCATATTTGTTATACTAAAAAATTATGCTACCACATAAAATAAGAACATATTAATTACTATCATCAAAGCCAGTTGGTGGTATGCCAAATATGAGCTTAGCTCTCTCTATAGGTATATGTCCACGTTTATGTGGTTTGTAACATGCGTTATTCAGTAATCATTGTTTTCGTTTTCTGTTTTTTTCTTAATTATTCTTATTTGTTTATAATTTGTTGAGTATATTTAACCTTTCTAAAAAATACGTTTGAATTCTTAGCGAGAATTACCTTTTTTTTTCTTTTTCAAATTTTAACTTGGATTTTGAAAATGTTTTTAAACATAGATGCAAAAAAGAAATAATATGTGAAAGTAGTATTTACACGCTTGAAAACAGAATGAGACCTAAAAATGAAACTTTTCTTAGAAATTTCACTAAAATTTTTAAATGTAAGAAATTAAACAAATAAAAAAAATTAGTAAAAACATAAAACAAAATTGTTATCAAAATAAGGTTATCTAGCTATTGTTTCTTTATGTCAATAAGCAAAGAGAATTAAGAATTTTGCTTTAAGAATTTTGTACTAATAATTAATATTGATTAATTTCTGGATTTACAGGGCACGATATGAATCAGGAATCATCCCTTTTTTAGTCAAATTCAATCTCATTTCTGTCCCCAATTCTAATGGTAATTAATAACCATTAAGTAGCAATCTTTCAAAAGTTTGCCAAAATGTTCAAATGTCTAATTTAGCTTACTAGACTACTAATTTCTTTGGTTAAACCATAATTTTTTGTACCCTCGGTAACTTTTATTTTATTTCATATGGTCGAATTTAGTAATTAATTTAATTTACAGTTTGCAAGTTTCATTTATTTATTATGATTATTTTTTACTATATCTCCATAGTTTGAATCTCAATAATATTATTCTGAGAGTCTCATTTTAGTTTTTAATTTTATATTTAGAAAAATTAGGTTTGTTCACTAACACTATCTTGGGGTTTTTTTTAATTATAAAAAGTCAATTTTTTTAAAAAAATAAAAATAAAGGTTAGATCTTTAGGTTGGTCTATAACTATTTTACTTTTGGTTTTCTGATTGTCTTTAAAATAAATATGTTTTCTAATAATTCTTTGCTTTTATTTTAACAATCTACCTAAAGTTAATTTTTGAAAATGATTTTTTTTTTTTGAAATTTAACTAAGACTTTAAAACGTGTTACCAATGAGGTGAAAAATAAAACAAATAAATTTGGTAGAAAACAAAGTAGAAATAAAAAAAGAATATATAATATATATCAAACTAACACTTATTAAAAAAAAGATGACAATATAATTAAGTATCTTATCTACTTGAGTTGTGCTCGAATAATTACAAACAACACTTCAAATTTTTAAAATTAATTTAAACTTTCAAAATATTTTATAGAGTAGGTTACAAAATAGTAAATATTAATATTAATAGGTAAACTTAACTTTTTTGAAAAATAAAACACTTGAAATATATATATTAAATTTTAGTAGCATTGATGTTAGTTTTATTGCTATTATTATTTTTTCTGAAAGAAACCTATATGATAGCCATCAAATGATACATAAAAATCAATGCATGGAAGTACGGTAATGGTAGGTCAATAATGTACCACCAAATTAAAATTTTCACAGATGAAATAAAACTTTAGCTTATTCTCTCTCTAATAAAAGCAACTATAATTATATATGATTTTTTTAATACTATAATTATATATGATTTGAAATGACTTATTTTGTGCACATATAAATCACATTACATATTATTATTCTATTGATTTATAATTTATAAGATATTTATCCAAAATAATCACAAATTCACTTAATGTTATTAATCCGATTGTGTTAAGTTAAACATGAGCGGGCATAAATGAATTTTATTATTTTAGGTTAACTACGATTAAATATATAATTGAAATTTCTAAAATACATAATATACAAAATTATTTAACAATCAATATACTTTCTTATTGGATATTGGATTAAGTCAACTGTAAAATTGAAAAAATCCATCAAACACAATTAAATATATATATAGTTTCAATTCAGAGCTTAATATCGTTAAGTTATGATGAAATGATAGTTACATGAGTGGTGTATTGTGAATGTTTAACTTAACTATTTGACTCAATAAACACGTGATTTTGTCATTTAATAAAGAATTGATGTGTTCAAATACATATAGCTCTAATTGCAATCTATAGAAACCTATAACAATACCTTGCTCAATGCATTTGGGGCTTTGTCTAGTCGTAGGAATGTTCTCTAGATCAATGTGTTTGAGGCTTTTCTTTGGGATATATATAGTCGGAGAGGAACAATCGATACTTGATGGATACAAGCACTCCAATTTCTCTTAATTGGAGGACTGTCCCGTAACTTTTTCATTTTTATTGTATGTTTCTCATCTACCTTACTCAATGAATTGGTGTCTCTTTTCTATCAAGAAAAAAAAAAGAAACCAATAACAATACACAATATAAAAAAGAAAGAAACTGTGGGCTTATATAAGTAATGAATATTTTACGTTACAACTTTGGTCAAATTTTAATTTAAAACATTTAACCTGAGATCAATGGATAAGAAAGGCTCTAGTTCTTACTACCATTCAAATATACTTTGAGGTCAGTCTCTATTTGTATGAAATTATATTTTCAAGTCTCAAAAAGTTTAAGGATGTATTTGAGAGTGATTTTGACATGACCAAAATTATTTTCAAAATCACTTCCCTCTCCATTGGTCATGTTTAACAAATTAAAAAATTGATTTTAAGAAAACTTAAAATCAATTTAAATTGATTTTTAAGGTATCAATTGTATTATGATTTTGGAAAATCAATTATACTTAAATTTCTTTTTTCAAAAGCACTCATTATTCTCCAAAAAACACACCCTAAATGTCTTAATTATTATTTTACGGATTAGTATGATAAAAAGTATTTATGAATTACTTTATTATATTGAGAGATATATATGCTAGTAAGAATTTTCATTCAATGGAATTTTGTTGTAAGATATGGAATACCTTGAGTAATGAATTAAGAAATGTAAAAGATAGTATAAACTCATCTATTAGTAACAATGTTACACTAAATATTAAACTGTTAGAAGTGATATGATTATAGTTTAAGTATGGTCAGTTGTAACTTAAAAATACAGCTTGATGATATATATCAATATTATTCACTAGGACTTCTCCTCATTTCTTGACATTCCTTGTATATTATAATGCT